ATAATACAGCGGGTAAAATAAGGATTGAACACGTCACCACATTATTCCACATTATTACAAATAACTTCATTTCTGGACATTTATGGTTTGATTTCTTTGTATGTATGGATCACTTGGGTTGTTACCGACATCTGGTGAAAATTTCATGTCATTAACACCTCTAGTAATATATTTACTGAGAAAAATGGTGACGTGGTCAATACTTATTTTACCCGCTGTATATTGATCTTCTTCATTTCAGTCAGCGTATTATATAAGATTAACCCTTTATGTAATGGAAAGAGCCTCTTGATTAGAAAAAACTGTTTTTTAGGAAAATGGTCAATCGATAAGATCAGTCAACTTTAGATTAATTCATTAATCGATAACTTGCATCCCTAATGCGGACGATAAATTTGTGAAAGCCTTCCTCCAACCAGCTGCTGCAGTTGAAACTGAACAGCAGTCAGATATGMTGACTGAGTTAAAGTTTTGTTGTTCCTGCATGTTCTGACCTGAACCTCTTCATAATGTTAAAGCTTGGAACTGATCAAGACTGTGGAGGCTTCAGCTACGATCAACTCAGCCTCCCTCCATCCAGAGAAGGACTTCTTTGTTGCTGGTGGAGAAGACTTCAAGCTCTACAAGTTTGACTACAGCACCAAGGAGGAGCTGGGTGAGGAGAAGCGCTACTTCCTCAGTAATGTACAGAAGGTTCAATTCACCTGCTTTGTACTCGTTTGTTTTGTTATCTTTCAGACGTATTGATAAACTAAAGCCAGTAGAACCTGTTTTATAGAAGCTGCCCTGGTTTTGGAACCAGATGTGATGCAATGATGTGATTCTTAAATTTTGCCTGCGAAGCCTGTACACAATCATGGTGTCACATGAATTTTCTTTGAAGTATGAAATGACTAATTCCAGCTAAATATAAACTAAATATTTGAACATACTGCAGCATGGTAAAAACTGGAGGATTTGCATTCCCTGCAAAAATGCAGTATGAATGCTTAACGCTAAAAGATTTTTTCTAAAAGCTACTGAAGAATCTTAAAATGTTTAATATCTTTTGCTGAATGAAGGAAAACAAAGGTAAACGGATGATGAACGGAGAGTAAAAAGCTCAGATTGGCAGAAAAACAAAAAGAAGTGTAAAAATAGTTTCAATTTGTTGTAAAATAGCTAAAGCATCTGAAATGAGCAAAATGGAGTAGCTGAAAAACCTGAAATTACCACAAAGATGCAGAAAGAGCGTGTCTGCTGAATTAAGCAATAAGAAGCTAAAATTAATGAATTTAGATGAAAAAAGTTAAAATCTGCTGAAAACAGCTACAAAGTAGCATAAAAATTTTAAATTAGCACAAATAAATAAAAGCAGAACCAGAACAAAAGATAAAAATTGCAGTAATGATTTATAAACATTTAAAAAGGGTTTTAAAGAGATCCATGATTAGTTGTAACATTAGACT